GTGTATCATGCAGCTTACAATCTCCTTTAAGCATTTTTGTACCAATCCGAAATTGTTAATATTGATCTCGATTGGCTGTTCTAAGTTTGTTCAACCATCAAAAGAATTTACACAGAATGTGTCTGAGCTGCATTCAACTATGTCTGCGAAATTATGTACCGAGCAGTTCAGAATTAACAGCTAAAGATGTCCGAGATGTGTCCTAGATGTAAAGCTGCTTTTCCAGAAGAAAATTAAACAACCATTTTGCCAATGGGAAAACTGGTGATTGACTTGAGGTAATCACAATTTCTTTTTTATTTATTTATGTTTAAAATTAAATTTCCTTGGAAAGGGTGTCGTAAGAAGAGTCTCTCTCTCTGTTCGCTTACAAAAGCGATCAAGGATTCAATCAATTTCAGACCATCATCAAGAGGAAGTCTTTTCTTCTGTATGCTTATTGAAGTTCGATTTATTTTTTCTTGATTCTTCAGAACATTTCTGTCTAATTTACTTTGGTATTTTTAATAAATGTATGCTAATAAAAATTATAATTGAAAAAAAATAGAACTTCTGATACACCATGACCATAACGAACAGAAAAATTATAAAATAACTGATATAAATATTGCAAATTTTGGTATTAATAGCCGGATGTCTCGTCTTTTTCCATCAGAACTGTATTTAATGTACGGAATTGTTTTTGTTTTTCTATTTTGTGAGATTTTTTCTTCTCAGTGTAAGCTGCATATATAAAATCACAAACTCACATTTCATTCCAGTTCTTTAAAATTAATTTTTCAAATGATCGGACATATTTTTTTAACCTGATAAATTTTACTAACATTTGAATAAAATTATGTGCTTTAATTCCCTACTTTTCGTAGATGTTTAAAAGCAAATTGTGATAGGCCAAAAATAATTTGGCATTCCTTTAAAGTCTAAACATATAAGTCTGAACAATTTTGAAATCACTTTATTTTAAACCGAATACTATAATTTTTTTAAATTTTGTAATCAGTAGTTCAAAGATTTAAAATTTTAGTAAGATAAGATTAACATAAGAGTCAGTAAATGTATTTTCAAACTAAATTCATTAATTTAAAACAAAAAAATTCACTTATTCTTCAAAAATTATATTTATTTGTTTATCAACCAGAGGAACATCTTTAAGTCGAACTCGAACAAAGCTTAACAGGACGGAAGCTGAAAGACATTATACGTGATAAAATTACTTAAAAGCAGTTCACACTGATATTAAAAAAATAAAATATTGTTATCCATATTACACAACTAAAAATATGCACATATCCATAAGTTGCGAAAAACAAAACATTCAATAAAATCACAATTATTTACAAACAGCAACTAACCCACGATTGCAAACTCGACTTCTGGTGCTAAAAAAAAGCGCGCAAAGAATCGGGGTTTTCGGAAGGAAAAACAATTCTCATTTTGTTTGAATGAAGGGAGGAGCAATCTGATGTTAAAATTTTTTTTTTGATTTAAATTACCTTAAAATAAAGTGTGCCTTCACAAAACTTTTTGAGTTGTTCATTATCAGATCTGGAAAGGTATTTCCCCAAAATTTTTACAGAGTAAAAGTTTTTTTCTGAAAATTTATACTGAAGTAACTATTTTCGTGCAGAAAAATAGTACTTTCTACTTATATTAAGACATATTATATCATATTACTTACATTACTACTTATATTCACTTATATTACTTATTGCCATTTAAATAAAAACTTTCATAAAAGTTTCATTTAACTGAATAATTGTTTTGAAAATCGATTTTAAATAAAAACATGAAGGTCCCATAAAAATATAAAATCCCGTTCCATACCAGAAAAATTAGCAATTGCCCAGGGAGCTCGAGCAAATCCATAAAATATAAGACTTCTTTCTTAAAGCGATACGAAATGGAATACGCCTTGGTCTCATTTTTAAGAAATAATAGATTGTTTTGAACAATCAAAAAATATTTTTGAAAAAATAAAGTTCGTTTCCTTTAGTAAAAGATGAAAATTTATTAAAAATATTTTAAATTAATATTCTCTATCTTTTACTTTAATCCGATTCTACTTCATTTCGATTTTCGATTTTTAAGAAAAATTGTATTTCAATTCTCTAAATACTTAAAGACAGATCAAAGAAGAATTATAAACATTTTTAATAATCAGTTAAATTAAATTTATATTTGAGCTTTCAACTGAAAAGTAATAAATGCAGCATACGTATTAAAAAAAATATTATTTTAAGCTCTTGCACAACTTTAATTAAACATAACTGGCTGTCAAGATTTTCATCCTTATTATTTCAATATTCTGATAACGCAAGCTTCCTATAAGAAATGCAAAGAAAATCAGCTTTTTGGGCAATAATTTAATTCAATTTTACTTTTAATTTTTGAAAAAAATGTTCTACCATCATTAAAACGACCCTCAAGGGTAAATTATTTCCCTAATCTGGGAAGGAACAAAAATATCTCAACAAACTAAGTAGCTTGTTTTGATTCAACTTTATATTTAAACCTTTAAAAAATGTTTCAAACTAATGAGAATATTAAATTTTAAAAGTCCCAAAATTTCTTTCAAAAACACGTTTTTTGTTCTTTCTTTTAAATTTATTCCAAAACTCTTTTGTAAGAATTAAGTGCTGCTATTAGTCAGATTTTCTGTAGAAAAACTAAAAAAATAATAATAAATGTTTTAAAATGAGTTACTAAAATTAATAAATATCACTTCAATGTCTTTTTCACATTGGAAATATTACTTTATATTGTTGACTGAACACCAAGCTAAATAATAATTGTTTTGTAGCAATCTTATTACAAAAATGTCATTATCTTAAGGTATCTGACTAATAAAAAAACATGATTTTAAACAAAATTGAGTTTATTATGAATTCTGAATCCCTGAACTCAAACCTTTATAAAAGTAATTTATTTTTGTTTTATTTCTAAGAGTACTTTAATTTGTTTTAGCTTTCGTGCAAGGTGCTAACAGTGGACAGAATAGTGCTTTTAAGTATTCAGATGCGTTCATCTCAAAATCAGGTTCTTTTTCACATTTTACGCCACCTTATTGACGATATCTCATGTTGCTTTTAAAATATTTGTCTATAAATTTCCATGTGTGTATAGGATTATGGCACACATGGATTGATCTACAGACTAAGAAAACAAGTGGAGTTTCCTTTTTTAGGCATGTTTTTTCACAAAGAGAAGTGTGGAAATGTTTTTAAAAATTTCCTTTTTTTAACTACATTGATCTCTAACTCAGTAATATATGTGCTTGCTTTTAATATAATAGTTTAGAACATAGTTAATGTCTTTTATGTAAAAGGCTCAAGGGATTTTTTGTCTTGGGCGATAAAATTTTTATACAACGTTTTGCGTGCATGCAAAACAAACGCTATTAAAAATAAAGATAAAAAATTATAAATTAGTAATAATTTTTTTGCTAATTTTATACGTTTATACAAATAATAAAATATATAAATTATTTTTTTTTTAAATTTTATTATAATATTTGAGAAAAAAGTTGTCGAAACTAGTCGGGTACCTTAATTATTCTTCTGCATATATATTTTTGTGAGCATGTATTTATGTTGGAAATACGAATGTATTAATACAACTTCATATTCAGAAAAAGAATTAAAAATTGTATAAAACTATAATTTCTGACTGTCTCGGGAGAGAAAATTTTCCACTGTGGATTTTGAAGGTTAATCTTTTCAAATAAAAAAAAATTGTCACTGGAGCAATCGGGAAGACAAAATGGAAAACTTTTCAGTGATATCTTGATGAATATCTTTAATATTGAGATATATATAAAATTAATACTTTTCAAAAAGTCTTCAGAAGAAAAAAAATGCGAAAAAGTTAAGAAAAAGCTACATGGTTTATTACGATTATTTATCCAACAGATACTGTTACAAATGTCAATTTAGGCGTAAATATTGTAGCTGATAAATAAAAGGTCTTTTTTCTGATCTACTAATACTGATACCTTTTTCTTCATTCCAAGAATCTAAGAGAAATGAAAATAAAAATGAAACCTTTTTAATTTTATTACCGAAATCCAATACTTTTTATCGAAAGTTTGTATGAAACGAATGAAGAAAAATACTTCCTCACCTAATTACTGTTTTTTAATAAAGCAAATTCATAGTGCAAATGCTAACCTAATTCTTCAGAAAAATCATTTAAATACATAAAACTTTATTTGATCAGCGTACAAATATGCCTTTTTTACAATTTTCAGATTTTTTTTTCAATATTGTGAAAGAGGTAGAATTTATTCCTTGTACTTAATAAAAGACTCCTCATTTCTCACGTTTTGTCCGAAAAATTGTTTCTCATTTCCACTCCTTCACTTAATTAATTATTATTATATTATGTTATATCTGCTATAATTTTTTAATTATTTTTATTGTATCATCATGACTATTATTATATCATTATATACTACTCATTTGATCAATTATTTTTCTTAAAATATTTGGTTTCAATTATTTTATCAACGTCATGTGTGGGGCAAGTATTACCAAAGCTATCTGAATTGCAGTTACTGAGATTAGTTAGAAACTTTTTTGAATTTTTTTGTTTGCTGTTGTTTTATATCCCATTTTCCTAAGAAACGTTACACAGAGTTTCAGGAATTCTTTTTTACTGAAACGTTATTTTATAAAATGTTTTTAGAAATTTTTAGTAATAGGGGAAGAGCGGGCAAGATGGACCTCTTAAGGAAACTTGGTCTAAAAAATAGTAAACTAGAGCAATTTTATATATTTTATATTGTAAACATATAGTGGAAACATTGCTCTTACATATTGTGTTGGTTATAAACGTAAATGTTTCTAATTACAATCAACACTAAAACAAGTATCTCATAGAACAAACTCTTTTTACTATCGCAAATGTACACAAAAAAATATATACAAAATATGTTGCCAACAAAAGAATAATGTAAGAAATAATATAAGAAATAATATAAGAAATAATCACTGCATCTGCGTTCACGCACTTGCGTCTGGAACATCCTCCCCACAATGATCAACCTCAAGAGGAATGATCAGTTGAACAGGTCGGGAGATTTCCTTACCTTCGGAACATAAAGTACAAGTGCGGACTTTTCCATCGCGTCCTTTAATTAGCCCGGTTACCAATCCTCTTTTCCACGTATGTCGTGGTCTTACATCTTCGTGAAGTAGTACTATGTCTCCAACACGAGCATGAAATGATTTTTGAATGTTGCGTACTTGGTGGAAAGATCTTAATTGCAATAAATAGTCCTTAGACCATTCCTTCCAAAATGCGTCGAATAAATCCTGTTGTTGCTTGTACAATTTTGTCAGATTTCTACTAGATGTTGCAGGCTGTGGAGGTATGTTTGTATGTCTTTTACCGGTAAGAAAATGGGATGGTGTTAATGTTTCTTCAGGATCATCATTTCCTTGTTCATAAACTAACGGTCGACTATTTAATTTGACTTCAACACCAAATAATGCTGTAGAAAGACCTTCTTCATCTAACAAGGTTCGACCAAGGGATTTTCGCAAACATCTTTTTGTTAGTCCGATCAAACGTTCCCACCATCCTCCCCACCAAGCCGCTCGTGCAACAATAAATTTCCACTTAATTCCCGTCTGGGCATAATATTGCTGAACTTTTGACGATGTCAAGTTGTCCCATAAAATGGATAGCTCTTTATTAGCGGCATGGAAGGTAGTGGCGTTGTCAGTGTATATTGTATGAGGGATTCCTCTTCTGCCTACAAATCTTTTTAAGGCCATGAGAAATTTGTCAGTAGTGAGGTCAGAGACTAGTTCGATATGTACGGCACGAGTAGTTGAGCAAGTGAAAAGTGCGATATAGGCTGTATTTAAAGGTTTCAAGTTACGGACATAAAGTGAGCCGGCGAAGTCTATGCCAATAGTAGCAAATGGAAGACAAGGTGTAATTCTGTCTCTTGGTAAAGGAGCTTCGATTTGTTGACTTCTAGATGCCTGTGAAAGTTTTCAAGGTAGACATTTATAGAGCACTCGTTTAATGACTTCACGTCCTCGTATTATCCAGAAGTTGGAACGAATCTCTGAAAGTACAATTTGAACACCTAAGTGATGAAGCTTCACATGTGTGTAGTATATGAAGAGATGTACAAAAGGATGAGAACCATCAAGAAGCAAAGGGTGTTTTTGCTCATTTTTGAGCGATGCAAACTGTAATCTACCTCCTAATCGTATGAGATTTTTTTGAAGAAATGGGTTAAAACGGCTAATTTTTGAAGATTTTGGCAAAAGGGATTTATTTTGTAAAGCGTTAAGCTCTGCCGAAAAGCATTGCTTTGGCACTGTAAGAATCCAATAGTTTTTTGCTGTGTTAAGCTCATCACATGTGAGATCAATAGAAATGCGCTGCTTGGATCGACAGTTATACAAGAAGCGAAATATCCATGCTGTAACTCTAAGAAGTTTCATATATGAACTGAAGCGCGATATATCAATAAGAGGTTGGTAAGAAGTTATCAATAAAGATTGAGAAGCTGGTTTACGTAGTTCAGCATAAATATCTGGATTAACGTCACTCAGTTGTTTTGAAGGCCAAAACTTTGATGACTGGGTTAGCCAGGTAGGTCCTAGCCACCAAAGATCCAATGATTTAAGCTCTGTTGGTGCAGCACCACAAGATAAAAGGTCGGCAGGATTTTCATTGCCGGGACAATGCCGCCATTGTGTTGGATTTGTGTAATTGAGAATTTCGTTCGTTCGGTTACAGACAAAAGTTTTCCACCGATTTGGTTCACCTTGTATCCAATTTAAGGCAACTGCTGAGTCACTCCAAAGTGTCGCTGTGTTCTTATCCAGTTTAGTTTCTGTACAGAAATAATGGAGTAATCGAGCACCCAATAATGCGGCTAACAGCTCCAAGCGGGGGAGTGTTATTCTCTTCAAAGGAGAAAGTCTATTACGACTGCAAAACATTCGAACATGAAATTTAGTATCTTCTTTGAATCGTACATNTGGAGTAATCGAGCACCCAATAATGCGGCTAACAGCTCCAAGCGGGGGAGTGTTATTTTTTTCAAAGGAGAAAGTCTATTACGACTGCAAAACATTCGAACATGAAATTTAGTATCTTCTGTGAATCGTACATATAACACTGTACCGTAAGCACGTTCCGAAGCATCGCAGAATACGTGAATGGTAACATCAGCAGAAGATATTCCAATCCATCTGGGGATTCGAATGTTGTTTAAATGTGGTAAGTGCATAATGAATTTTGACCACCTTGATGCGATAGATGGGGGTAAAAGTTCGTCTCAGTCAATACCACATAGCCATGTATCTTGAAGGAGAATTTTTCCTACTACAGTAGATGGTGAGAAAATTCCCAAGGGATCAAAAATCTTTGAGATTGTTTTCAGAAGTAAGAGTTTAGTGACCGGTTCCTTAAACAAATCATGGTCATGCTCCTTAATATTTTGATGAAACGAATCTTCTTCTGTATCCCAATGGACACCTAAGACTTGAGTCTTACTTTTAAACTTTATTTTTTCTTTCTTCCATTCGTTTTTCAAAACTTGTGAGTTGGTACTCCATTTCGCTAAGGGAAGGCTTATAAGACTCGCAAGTTCTTGCATTTCGTGAAATAGGGTTTTCACTTCGATTTCTGAATTAACTCCCACAGCGAAATCATCCATGAAAATATTGCCTTTTAGATGTTTAGCTGCTGTGGGATAAATGTTGGAGTACATGCAGCATAATTCGTCAAGTGTAGCTGAAAGAAGGAATGGGCTGCTGGTTAATCCAAAGGGTAAACGTGTAAATTGATAGACCACAATTTCATTCTCTAGCTGCAAATGTCCATCATCATTTTTCCTAGTTTTGAACCA